TGTTTCACATTTAAAGTAAATAAATATTATGATATTTTGTAGTCTATATTTTTCTTGTAAAAATTAGATAGGAAGTAGAATGAGTTATGTAGGTTAGATTAGGGATGAAGTATTTATTAGAGAGACAACAGTAGTTAGATAGGTTAGAGAGAGAGAGTAGAGAGAGAGTAGAGGGAGAGAGAGCGGAGAGAGAGTAGAAAGAGAGAGGGAGAGAGAGAGAGTAGAGAGAGAGAGGGAGAGAGAGGTGAGGGAGAGTAGAGAGAGAGAAGAGAGAGAGTGGAGAGAGAGGAGAGAGAGAGGGGAGAGAGGAGAGAGAAGGGGTGTCCAAATGTCCAAATTTTTATTTAACAAAATTTTATTTAATAAATTGAACATGTAAATGTTACAATGAAAATTTTCAAATATTTAAAGTTATCAAATGTTTTTTCTTAATGTCCTTCACTCTGCTTTTCTTTTGCTACCAATCTTTTTGTAAGGTGCCAAAACATCTGTAGCGATGCTATTGGCTTTGACACAGTTGTTGCATAATCCTATCTTCACAGTAACACAAGAAGGATTCTCTTCAAATTTATCTTTTGAATAAAATAATTTGTTTTGGCAGTCTAAAAATTTAATTTTTGAATAAAATATTAAATTTTATTACCTTGACACAGGTAGAATGTAATTAAGAATTTTCCGCGAATTAGTTTCCAAAGTTGTTGTTGTTTAACAACTTGTTCTTCAACAATTTTTATCTTATTTAGATCCACTGGTGGATTAGCAATAGTTGTCTCTTAAAAAATTAGTACGAGAATAATTATCTTATTATAAACCTAAAGAGCTTTTAGAATTTGATTCCTTCTTCTCTTCTAAGTTCACAGGTTTTGTAACAGAAATTTTCTTGTTTTGCTCACAGTCCCCATCTTTTAAAATAGAAACTTAATCAGGTTTTTAAAAGGAAAAGTTACCAATCTTCTCAGATGATGAGTTATTTTGTTCCATATTTTTAATATTAAATATTTAATTGAGGAAAAATTTGTTGTAAATTATATAGAATGATCTTAAGAAATAAGGATTATGGATTTTTAGTAAAAAGTGGGCGTGGCTTAATATTGATTTTTTTAAAAATGGCTTGGCTTCGCTTTTAAAATGGCTTGGATTCGCTTTTTCAAATTTGGTGTTTTGTTCAAAATAGATACATAAAGTTGAGAGATACTATAGGGTTAGAGAGTATAGACACCTACGGGAGCGAGAGACGGGTATATAAACTCAAAATTTTAAACAAATCTAATTAATTCTAGAAAAATTTTAATAAAATGGCCCTCAATATGAATGACAAGAAATCATTATTAACCCAGATTATCCCTGAAGTCGACTTCAACATAACTACTAATGGGATAACCATTACTAGTGAGCGAATCACCACCCCGCGTTTCATTCCTTTTGAACACGGGGGTCGGTGTCGGGAATGTAAAAGCACAGAAGTAGAATTGGACTTTATTGTTACAAAGGAGGGAGTGACAATTTATTGTACTCGCCTGTCAACTCCTCGTTTAGTGCCATTTGATTGCATTTATGACCTCCCGGGTCATTGTTTCTTTAAGGTCATTTCCCCGCAATAATTTTATTGAATTTTAAATTTAAGATTAAAAACAAAGGCCGTGTTTTAAATATACCGTATGGTTCACAAAATGTCCACTCGGTTGAGAATACAAATTCTCGCAAGCGTGAGGCTACTACCCAACTCGAACCTTTACAATCTCCTCCCCATGAGCCTCTCCAAGAGGTAGTAGATCCACCACTGATTGAAGATGTTCAAAATATCGAACAACCTCCACTTATTATTACTGAAACATCTATTAAGGATTCAAATGTTATGGAAAAACCCAATGAGGACGATGCCGTTCTTATGGAATTTTTCGATTCTATGCAAGCTGTTACTATGGGAATTTCTCCGGACGCAGAGGTTAAGAATGAAGTAATAGCTGAGATGAAAGAAACTAATTTGCAATCATCTCTTTAATTTCGCAAAGTATTTAAGTTTATTAATTTTTAACTTCATTAATTTTCCTATCATTTAATATGGAAGCATTAACATTTTCAAATAAAGATTTAAAACTTAAATTGCCTTTTGGTATGATTGTATCAGGTCCTAGTTCTAGTGGCAAGAGTACTTTTTTGCTCAAATTTATCTCAGAGGTAGAAGAGTTAATTGAACCCAAACCAAAGAGCATACTCTATTGTTTTGGCGAAATGAGTAGTATTGTACCAATACTTCAAAAATCTGGTGTTAATGTGTTTGTCGGAGCCCCGCCTGAAGACTTGATAAAAACACTACCCAAACCACTTCTGCTAATTTTGGATGACCTTCTATTATCAATAGATGAAAAATACCTATCTGAACTTTTTACAAAAAAGTCGCACCATCAAAATTTTTCTGTTATATTTGTTACACAAAATTTATTCGACCGAAAAATTAAAGTCGCTCGTCAAAATGCCCAATATATTGTACTAATGCGTTCACCTAATTCTGCTCTCGCAGTAAGAAATATAGGAGTCCAACTCTTCCCGGGAAGGCTAGATTATTTCCTGGATGCCTACAATCAATCAACAAACCAACCTTATGGATATCTATTGATTGACATGCATGCTTCATCTGATCCCACTTTAAGACTTAGGACAGGAATATTTAAGGAGGACGAAAAAATTATTTTCACTCCAAAGAGTGGCATTTAAAATGGTCGGTCAATTAATTAGTGAAAATTCAAATTTCCTAAATACTCTGTGTCATACAAAATCTCAAAGAAAAATTCGTCGTCTTTTACGACTTGCTAGTAATAATCAACTTTTAACACTAGTAGAAATTTGTCTTAATATTGTAAAGTCTCGGTTCATGTTGACAACTCGTCAAAAGAAACGTTTAATGCCTTATGCCTGTTTTGTTCGAAAAGTAAGCAGGGCTCGAAGCGAAAGGGGAGCAAGACATGCTTTGCAGAAGGGAAATGGTGTTGGCGCATTTGCTGCTCTCCTTACACCCATACTCATTGAACTGGCGCGCTCTATAAAAAGCGGGAATTAATGTAATCAATCACTTAATTATTCAATTATGGCTAATAAATTTATTCTCGTTCCTCAAGAAATATATCGGGGTCTCACAACATTTGATACCGGTGAACCAAATCTTGACGATGTTCGGCGAACTCTAGATAAAACACAAAAAGGAAAAGAACATCCAAGTGCTAAAAACATCCGTTATAACCAGGAATTAAGGCGATACCTACACTTACGTAATGAAAGTCAAAATCGACCAGTTAGAGTTGAAATGGTCGCTTCACCCAAAGGGGCTATTATGAGTAATGAACAAACACGTCCTTCAACAGCCGAGGATGATGATGAAATGTGGATGAGTGATGATGTCTCATTCTCAGCTTACCCTAGAGAACCTCCAAATAGAGCCTATAATTTTGTACCACCTCTCTCTGAATCCTCGTACCACCCGTCTTTACCTTCCCTAGCTAAAAATATAAACGTTCTAAAAGAAACGCCACCGACTCCACGGCAACTTGTAAAAAGGAAAGAGAAAACAAATGGAAATGGTACAAAAAGGATGAAGACCGTTAAAAAAATCAAAAAGTCTAAAATTCCTGTTAAAAAGAAACAAAAGAAAAGAGTGACGGCAAACCAATCTTTACCCTCAACTTCAATAATTGAGTCAATTAATAAAACAGATCCCATTATTGATGCGCAGAATGCTCCATTAATGGATTCTAATCCTGTAGCATTAAAAAGAGACCAAGATTCAAGTAATACTGAAGGGTTCAAGAGAAGTAAGAATACATATGAAAATAAGGAAATTAGGTTAAGACAAAGAATTGCACAAACGCAAAAGAAGAAAGAACTATTAAGGAGAAGAAAATCATCACAAAATGTCAAAGTCCCTCTTGATCATAGTGTAATTCAACAAATACGTCGAGATGAGGAGGCAGAAGTTTTAGATAGAGCTAAAAGATCTCGTCGTCGTCGAGGAGTATTGAGAGAAGGTAGATCCCCGTCTCCTTCAATACCACGTGAGCGCTCAAAAAGAAAATTAGAAATTCCCGAAGGAACCAGTTTGTTACATTATAAAAGGATAAAACATCCTGTTTCGAAGAAAAAGTCTGAGCGTTTATCAAAGGCATGGGTAGAAAAATTAAATATTATAAAAGGGCGTGTGAGTGGAAAGAAATGGGCAACTAAAAAACCTACCCAAGAAGATATAAGTACAAGACATACAGGAGTAAGAGAAAAAGTAATTGGAAAGAAATGGGCTGTAAAAAAACCTTCTCAAAAGGATATAAATAGTTTCAAACCCTCTTTATGGTAAAATGGCAGATTATACAAAACTTTTGCAACATCTCTATAATGACCCTGAATCTCCTGCAGCCTTTTCAGGAATTGATAGATTATGGCACGAAGCCCGCAAAGTTCTTAAAAATTTACCTAGAAGTGTTGTACAAGATTTTCTTGAGGGACACCGGACTTATACTCTTATGCGTCCCAAGAGAATACATTTTTCCAGAAGTAGAACTGTAGCCTCAGGTTTTATGACAGATGTTCAAGTAGACTTGGCGGATTTTCAAACACTTTCTAGGCATAATAAAGGAAATAGATATTTACTCTTGGGAATCGATGTTCTATCTAAGCGTGTTTTTGGAGTAGCTGTAAAATCAAAGAAAGCCGAAGATATTTTGGAGGCATTTAAACAATTAATCGAGCAGATGCCTATGAAACCTCATAGAATATTCTCTGATAGAGGTCTAGAATTTAAAAATAGGCAAATAAAAGAATTTTTTGAAAAAGAAGAAATTGAAAAGTTTGAAGCTACCCATTCAACAGTCAAAGCTTCGCTTGCGGAGCGTTCAATTAGAAATGTTAAGCAACGATTATATAGATATTTTGCTCATTATAAAACACTTAATTGGATAGAAATTTTACCAAAAATTTTGGACGGTATCAATAAAGCAAGGAGTAGGGTTCACGGAATGAGACCAATTGACGTTAACTTTAAAAATGCTCAAGAGGTGTGGGAGAGGATTTATGGAGATGAATTGTCTACAAAAACTAAAAAAGCCAAGCCAAAATTTAATAAAGGAGATTTTGTTCGTATGAGTGTTAATAAAGGAACATTTGAAAAGGGGTATATCCCAAATTGGGGTGATGTAATAGCAGAAGTTGACAAAGTCAAAGATCAATCAAGACCCGTTCGTTACAAATTAGTAGATGACAAAGGAGATAAGTACAAGGGATCGTATTACAATGAGGAACTCACTAAAGTGAAAAAAGATGCGGGGACCGAGTACAGAATTGAGAAGGTATATCAAAAAAGAAAACGACCGGATGGTACATATGAACTACTTGTAAAATATATAGGTTACCCCGAAAGAGAATGGATACATGAGAACCAGTTAGTATAAAAGTCATTTATTTTCACATTGTATAATTTTATTTGAGATAAAAATGTCTAACAGTTTTTACGTTTGTTTACTAAGTAATACAACTGATTATCCCGATAATCAGCCTAATAAGTTTCGAGTTCATCTCCCGAAACCAATTTATTTTTCTGGAGACTGGGTATGTGGTTTACATAGCATCTCATACCCATATTCATGGCCTTCAACGATTGGTACTCTTGACGAACAATGGATTGCTATACACTGTACAGATTTTAAAGGAATGGCTAAAATAATAAGAGTACCTGTACCAAGAGGTTCACACAATAAACCGGAAGATTTACTAAAATTTTTAACATCCACTTTACAACACCAAAGTGGATCGCTTGAAGAATCTCCTCAAAATAAAACTGATAGTTTTGTCGATAGGCCAACTCTAATTTCACCTCCAAGAGTTGGACGCCCAAAACGAAGTTTAGAGGAGACTCTACCATCGCCTCCAAGGATACAACCTTCTCCTCCGCGATGGGTTGATCCTGCAAAACCATCTTCACCTACTCCGCCAGTAAAGAAACCTGCGCCTCTACCTCAAGAAAATGAGAAATCTATAACTCCTTCTAAAGAAACAATACTTCCTTCGCCTCCTAGACTACAACAACCTTCTACAACACAACATCAAAAATCTCCTACTCCTCAGAAACCTCCTACTCCTCAGAAAACTCCTACTCCTCAGAAACCTCCTCCTACTCAAAAACCTCCTACTACACAACCACCTCCACCTCCTCCTACTCAAAAACCCCTTACTACTACACAACCACCTCCACCTCCTCTTACTCAAAAACCCCTTACTACTACACAACCACCTCCACCTCCTCCTACTCAAAAACCCCTTACTACTACACAACCACCTCCACCTCCTCCTACTCAAAAACCTCCTACTACACAACCACCTCCACCTCCTACTCAAAAACCCCTTACTACTACACAACCACCTCCACCTCCTCCTACTCAAAAACCCCTTACTACTACACAACCACCTCCACCTCCTCAAAAACCTCCTATTACACAACCACCTCCGCCTACTACTCAAAAACCTCCTACTCCACAACCACCTCCTGCTACTACTCAAAAACCTCCTACTCCACAACCACCTCCACCTACTACTCAAAAAACTCCTATTACACAACCACCTCCTCCTACTACTCAAAAACCTATTATACAACCACCTTCTCCTACTACTCAAAAACCTCCTATTATACAACCACCTTCTCCTACTACTCAAAAACCTCTAACACCACAAAAACCAACACCTGGGCCTAAAACTAATCAAAAACTTTATTCACCCCCTAAAATGCCGCAAAAACCACCATCTCCACCCCCTCAAATTTTGCCTACGCAACTTCCCCATCAAAAAACACCTCAAAAATTACTTACTCCGCCAAAACCTACTACTACAACTCCTCAAAAAATAACGGAATCACTACCCCGTCCTATACAAACTCTTCCTCCACTCCCTGAAGCTCTTCCATTAAAACAAAATAAATCAGTCGTTCAACAAAAAATAAAATGGACTGATGATATGGAAAGAGTTCTTACCCACGTAATAGGAAAACCCCCTACTGATTTTCAAAGAGAAAGTTATTTACCAATGATCGAAGGGCTTTTAAAAAAATATAGTTATCTAAGAAAAGACAAAATAACTGCTACCGTCCAGAAACAAATTATAGATTCTATTTCTCTGTCCTTTCACAAAGATTTTCAACGTTTTAAAATGGAATATTCTCACCCAAATATTAAATATTTATCTTTCTCTCCTCAGCTTGGATATGTGCTGGGTTTTGAAAACTCGAATATGGTTATGAATAATGAGATTGCAAAATACGGGAGTGACTTGAGAGGAGGATTCTCAAGTTTTGCTGTATACTCAAAGGGTCTAACCGAGAATATGATAGTCGGAAATTCTCTAAGTTCTCTACTAAGAGTTGTTTCTGTCTCAGGAGCAACACCTGGAGAATATCATGAAAAAATCTATGACTCACCAATCTATATTCGTGTGCTTCCTAAGGAAATTAATGAGATTGAAATAGAATTAAGAACAATGGATGGAGGAAGACTTGTCCCTTTTGCATTTGGAACAGTGATGATTGTTTTAATCTTTAAAAAAGTCATTAATTTTTAATGTTCACATGTCGTGTCTATATAAATACCCTCAAAATTGTAATTTTATTTAATTTGAAGTAAAATTTTCTAAAATGGTACATATTGTTTTTGATACAAGATCAGTCGGGTATGAAGAATTTATTCCCTCAATTATGAAAGGAGGTGGAATATCCGATGAATACAATTATTTCAAGGGTTCTTCACCTTTTCAAAGAGGTTACGGTAATTCCCAAAAAGGTGCAGGAATAGGAGATGTTATGAGAGGGCTTTGGCGTTTTTTCCTTCCAATAATTAAACAAGCGGGCACTACTGTAGCTGGAGAAGCATTAAATACAGGGCAGCGAGTGCTGGAGAGGGTTAATCAAGGAGAGCCTCTTAAAGCGGCACTCAAAGAAGAAGGAAGAAAAGGTATTGACACCGTATTGGAGAAAGGGGGATTACCAAAACAATTTGGGACTGGTCGTAAAAAGGGTATAAAAAGGAATGCAATACCTGCACATCAAACATTTATTGGAAAAAAAGTTAAAAAAAGATTAAGATCGGACGCTTTTGGTCTCTATTAAAATGGCTTTCCACAAAATTGATAGTGACAGTATTAATTCTATTACAAGTGCTCTGGACTTTTTTCAAATCCCACCTACTAATGTTACAGTGACTTCTTCTAAAGTATTCGAAATTCTTACCAGTAATCCTCTTACAGATACACCCTACCACTTTAAAATCCATTCAAGTCAAAATTATATTGACTTGTCAAAATGTTATCTTTTTACTGAACTTAGAATAAGAAAAGAGAATGAGAACGGGCAACTAATTAATCTTGCTGCAACAGACAATGTTGCACCTATTCAGCTCATAGGGCAAACTTTCTTAAATAATATGAAAGTTAGTGTAAATGGGCGCGAAATCTTCAATTCAAACTCTCTTTACGCTTACAAAACCTACCTATCATATGAACTTTCGTATTCCCAAGGAGCAAAAAGTTCGCATCTCAACTCGTCTGGGTATTACTTTGACTCTGGTACAATTCTAGAAAGTGGTGATGGATATGAGGCTAGGAAAAGATTATTTTCCAATAGTAAAACAACACAATTTATTACAAAACTTGATGCTGATATTTTTAATCAGCCGCTTTATTTAATAAATCAATGTGAGATAGATATAGAGATTTTACCAAATGACACAAAATTCGTCCTAATTGCCCCTCCTGTTCTGGGTCTTGCTCAATCTACACGTTACCATTTTGAGGTTGTGAATTGTAAACTTTATGTAAAAAAGATGGATCTTATGGATGGTTTAGCTTTGGACATTGCCCGAAAACTTGACACAAAACCCGCCCGTTATGCAATAAGAAAGACTATGATGAAGCCTCTTTTCATTAGCCAAGGAAGATACGAATTTAATGCCAATCTCTTCATGGACCAAATTCCCCGAAGAATAACACTTGGTTTGGTAGCAAACACTGATTATGTTGGAAATTTGAGTCGTAGTCCCTTCAATTTCCAACACTTTAACGTTCGGGAAATTACTATAATCGCGAACGGGCGAAGTTATCCCCAAGCTCCTTATGACTTTGATTATATGAATGGAAAATATGTTAGAGCATTTAACGACATGAATGAGGCCATAGGACTTTCAAATTCGTCAGAAAGCAATGGTATTACCTATCAACAGTACGGTAGTACTCATTGCATTTATGTTTTTGCTTTGACAAATAGTGGCGATGACCAGGGAGGATTATTTGATTTAATAAAGAACGGGACAACTGCCATTAATATTAAATTCAGTCAGCCTGTTCCCGATGGAGGAATTATGCTTGTAGCTATGGGTGAAGCGGATTCATTGATTATTCTAGATAAAAATCGCACTATTGCCAGTGACACTACTATATAAACACATTTTCATTGTATATTTTTAATAATATTTTAAAATGAATAAAATTTCATTAATAATTTTTCTTGTAAGAATTTTTTGTCCTCTTGTTGAGACTTTAAGTATTGATGATATTTCAAAAGTGGAAAATCTACCCGAATATTCTGAATATTTGGGTAAGAGAACAACAACATCTACATCCTTTCCTATTAAAATGGATTTCCCAAACTTCCCTTCAATTCAACTTTGCAAAGAAAGCCCCGGTGAAAATAATATATATGGACATATATTTTGTTGGGGAATGATAGTCTTATACATTTTGTTTATAATTAGTCTTATCATTTTTCAATTTCGCTCAATACTTTGGTTTAAAGTAGTATTACCGAGAAAAAAGGCAAAAGAGTTTGAAGGTAAATTGAATTAAATTTTAAAATTATTTTTAAATTAAGTAATCGATGAACGGATACAAAATAACCCAGATATTGAACTCGAATCAACAAACAAGGCAAATTTTTCAGGGATGCTTCCCGTGTGATTTAATTCCAAAGAATGATTTAAAAAAATCAATTTACATTGTCAATTTGGATCCTCGAGGAATGAAAGGATCCCATTGGATAACAATTTATATAAATTTTAATAAAATATACTATTTTGATAGTTTAGCTTTACCTATCAGCTATTGTATTTTTAATTCCTTTCTTAAGAAATTTTCTTATATTAAACGTAATGTTAAACCTTATCAATCCCCCTTAGCTAAAACTTGCGCTCATCATTGTATCTCTTTAACCTATTTTCTATCTCAAGGTCTATCTTTTGAAGAATATTTAGAATTATTAGACACGAAACAGAATCCAGATTTATTTGTAGTTAAAATAGTAAATAAACTGTTACAATGAATTAATGTTTAAATTATAAAGGTGTCGTGGCAAAAAGTGCACAATCAGTGCAAAGCCAAAATGAGTAAAAGAATAAGTTGTTCGTTATTGGTATTAATG